ACAGCTTGTCCAAGGTCATTCATTATTAATACTATAAGTAATATCTGCGTTAAAGACTTTGATGGCGACAGCTCAAACATGAGAGGTTGAGCTTTATTAGCTCCACCTTGCGGAAATTCTGGATACTATTATTTTACTTGCGGTACTATAGGAGAATTTACGGTAACTCGCGGTAGACTGCATAAAGTGCACTGCAAAATAATGCGGTATCGCCGTTTTGAATGGCTGCATCTGTATGTTGTTTATCACATCCAAGCTTAACTTGAGGGTGTTGCAACTGTACTTAAACCCCGGACAAATGCCAGCATCCAGAACTTCTGGTAAGGAGTAAAACCACATGGTGTCGTAACCCATTCTCATTTCTGAGAGAATAAATGCAGTTAGAATGAAATTTTCCCCTGTTTGATTTATCTTTTTCATTCTCTTCATTCCCACCTACCTACTTCCTTCTTCAAAGAATTAAATAGAAATATATCTACATTTATTTGGAATAATTAAAAACCTATGGCTAAATTTATACAATTATTAAAACCAAAGAGTGAAGAGAGGTTCCAGACTTATTTATGTTACTGGTCTGTCCAAATAAAGCATATGGTTAGGTAGTGTATTAACAGGCGTGATTCTCTTTGGGTTAATATACAATTAGGAGTATATCATGCGTGACCCATTCAATCTCTACCCTTTATGTACAATCTTAATCTGGCAGATAACTTGTCAGATAACTTTGTAATACTCAGTACTCTAATGGCCTACAGGGCTGATAGATCATACTTGAATATACCCACTTGTCTGTCTTTTATCCGTTAGGAAACAAAACAGTTTGAGATTTGTGTTCACTAAGACTTAAAAATATTTCCTCCTGGTAGAAAAAAAGCCAGACTGGAGCCAGACTTGGGGCACTCATTTATAGAGGAGGACTGGTTAGCAATTTGTGAAAAGCTATGTCCAAAAAAGCACTTCTGTTACCATACAAGAGCTTAATTTCCAGGTCGCATCATCCAGGTGGGCCTGCACATTGGTGGTGGTGGAGGTGATCCCCATTACCTGTAAAGTGCTTTGAGTGGAGTGTCCAGAAAAGCGCTATATAAGTGTAAGCAATTATAATAATTATTATTATTATTAATTAATTTAAAATTTCTTAATAAATTCTGTCTAACCCCAGCCAGTCTACAAACGATACACCCAGGCAGATCAAATCAGTATTTTATGTGCCATATTCAGCTACAGAAGATACTTTGTTTCATTTATTATGCAGTAAAATTGGCAGTAAAAATGCAGTAAAATTAATCAATGCTTAAGTAATGTACTGTATATTCTGTCATTGAAAAAAAAATAGGTTTACATTTTACTACGTCTGCATAGTTGTATCTTCTATACAGTGATTATACAGTCAAACATGACAGATTCAGAGTGCCAATTTTCTGTGCTTGTTCATTTTGCTAAGAAATGTACAGTATTTTGCTGCTATGGTCTGTCTCCAAGGTACTGACTGTTGAAATGTGGCTCTCTCAAGAAGCTGTATTTCTACCTTTGAAAAAACTGACATACGATCTCCACTTGTAGTATCTGAGCACTTTTGAAGATCTGGTCACCCATTTGGGATCTCCTTTCTTAATTATTTTTTCCTCTTTCTTTCTAGTATTATTCTGGTATTGGAAAGCTGTGCAGTTCTGTCTCTATATGTCATAACACATCATTATGTAGTTTTTTTTTCTTTTGTATCAATGTGTGGTGATATCATTTTATTTGGAATGATGGGTATGGTGTAAACTGACTATTTACTGTTAAAAGCAAATAAATAGATGAAAATATCATCAGTAATATGAATTATTATTTTAGCCTTTTCTGTCTGTTAAATGTTTCATAGGGATATATGCAACATAAAAGCTGTGTAAAAACTATTGTATGAAAACAATAATTTACAGATGTCTCACAACATATTTTCACAGCATACAGTATGTGGGAAACACAGATATTAATGCAATATTAACTGACTTCAAAAACACAAGTCTCATGTGGAATTCTGACATTTAATACAAACATTATTTTTCTGAACATATTGTGCAGCCTGAAAGCTCAAGCCTTGGTTATGTTGTTCAAGGTGTTTCACATAACAATACAATTTGTATTACTTTTTGTATTACTTTACAATACTGTGCATATCAATATAACCAGTACCGAGACCTATTGCTCTGTGTGTTCGTGTTCCTGATAGATTCTACAGTGTGAGCTCAGTTGATTGTTTGTGCAAGGGGCAGTAAAGAAAAGGCAAACAGCAGTGGAGAGAGAGAAACCTGCAAACAAAACTTTTGTATGTTTTCCCCATGTCGGTGTGGGTTTCCTCCAGGTGCTCCGGTTTCCTTTCATAGTCCAAAAACATGCTGGTATGTTAACTGGAAGGAAGTGAGATGAAACCCACATGAACATGGGGAGAATATTGAACTCAGGATCCCAGCACTGCAAGGCAGCAATGCAAAGCACTGCACCACTGTGCTGCCCCAGCTGTTTGCAAAACCTTTTGCAGTCACGTTCTCAGGCATCAAGTGCTTCCTTTTGAATGAAAGCATTTTGTTAGACAACTTAAAATGATTGTCTTCATACAGATTTACCCAGCTATTAAAAGCATATTAACTGACTTCATAACCACCTAAAATATCTTATTCACATGCAGATCCCTTGCATTGAATACAAACATTGTTTTGCACTGAACATGTTGCGGAACATGGTTAACATTGGTTATATTGTTCAAGGTGTTTCACACAACAATGCCCTTTGTAAGATATTCAGTCTGGATATCAATGTAACCAGTACCAAGACCAATTGCAATGGACTAAGCATTCTCTGTTTTGATAAATGAAGATTTTTTCTTTCAGATTACTGCTGTTAGAAAAACTATGACAAATAGTGATACACTAACAATTTATAAACTATACATTACTAACTTGTTACACACTAAAAACATATTTTATTTGTTGTCTGGAAACAGGCTATTGAAAGAAGATGCTATATAACATATTTTAAAAGTTAATATTAGTTTTGCCGACTTCTGAAACCAAGGATAAAACAGAGCATAAATAATTGGATTAATAGAAGAGTTAAGATAAACTAACACACAAGGGAAATAAAGTGAAATAAATCTGGATATTGTAATCTTTTCTATAATTAGTGACCAAATGTAATATGGCACCCAACAAAGAAGAAAGGCAAACACTACAATTCCTAATGTCTTTTCAGCTTTTCTTTTGTTGGTTTTTGATAATATCTTTTCTTTCTTAGAATTATTATTTTTTAAAGAATTAATTACTTTTGCATGCCTTTTTGCAACTATAAAAATCTTTATATATAGAGTTGTCATAACAGAGCAAGGCAATATAAAAGAAGTAACCATATCAATTGTTGCCCATGTTTCATTCATTATAAACACACACTCTCCAAGACAGAGATTTAGTGCTTTAGAATCACTAAAATTGCCATTTACATAAAGCAAAATTATCACATACAATGGAGATATGAACCAGCTGAGTAATATTAATAAGTACATCACATTCACTGTTATTTTTGTAGAATAAAAGAATGGGTCACACACAGCAAAGTAACGATCTATGGCGATTAACACCAGATTACAAAGAGAAACTGAAATCAGAACACAGTCAAGTGATTTGTAAAAAGAGCAAAGAATGTCCCCAAAGTACCAGCAGGTTTCTATTAAGGTTGTAATACTTAATGGCATCACAGTCGCTCCTACTAGAAAGTCAGCCACAGCCAGCGAAAGGAGTAGCAGGTTTGTTGGTGTGTGGAGCTGCTTGAAGTGAGAGATGGAGATGATCACCAACAGATTCCCACACACTGTTAGTCCAACAGCCACAGCCATCACTGTGTACAGAGAAACATACGCTGCTGTAGATCGAATTTCTTTATGACAAGATGCATTGTTAGATGGAAAACAAAAATGCACCAATTGTGTTTCTTCTGAACGAGTGACTTCCATTGTACAATATTATGTTTAAAGCTAAATTCACACAAATTTGTAGGAAGAAATTCAGACTAACTGAGATGAAAGAAATGTTTTCTAATCACCTAACCCGTAAACGAAGGTATGTGCTCCCCAGAACAAATCCATCTACCATAGATGACAGAAAGACTATAACATTGCTACTGTATGTTGTCTTCCTCACATTGCTGAATAAAGTGTTTGTTTTTTATCTTATTTTAAGGTCTGTTAGTGGCTCCTCCTGTTGTTAGGAGCTGCTCATGAATGTTAATTGATTTAAATGGGTCCTATTGTTATGGGATTTAGAGCAGAGGTTATAGAACTGCTTCAGCTAAAAAAATCTGAACCGAGACTTCAAAGACTAATTACATGTTTTCCCTTCTTTAGTTACACAAGGGATGCCAGCCACCTCAGCCATGTTGATGTTTTTCCATGTTTTTCCAGCTTTCATTTTATATTCCCTTTTCTATCCTATCACCCTTGTGACATGACCTTTTGCTATCTGCACACATTTGTCCAAAATGTATCAATTTTCTATTGTATTCATATATTTTACAAATAAAAAGAAACACATTGATAGTTGTTATGAAAGGATTTACCTGCACACTTATTACAAGCCCACTCTGTCCTTTTGTTATTTGGTCATGTGACCATCACCATCTGGAGAATCAGAAAGACAACAAGACACATGCAGTGGGGCATGGATTGTAGATGAACTACTCTGGATCCTATTTGATTGTCATTTTTATTTCCTTTTCCTTTAAGAAATGTATGTGGTATGTATATTTAACACGTTTTAACTTTATTTGTTCTTTTGGCACCAAGTATAACTCAGAATTTTACTTTGTTACAAAGTTTATTACAGATTTAAAAGAAAGAGACATGAAAAGGAACACCCTAAAATCTTAATATACTGTAGTTGTCAGTGTTCAAGATAATTTAAACACAAGGGCATCTGGGTAAGACAGCTTTAGAAATAAATAACAAAGATTAGAGAAAGTTACAGTACATTTAATAGGAGAAAGAGAAAAGGGAAAAGTATTTTTGTTGATCGTGATAAATATGTATCTATAAATCACATTTCAGCAGGTCAAGAAATGTGTGTGTGTGTACAGGGTTCCATTCCAGCTCAGCTTTTAACAGGCCAGTTTAATTAATTAAGCTCTCAAGATACTGTTTTGACATACCTTAAATCTACAGGCAGTTTTTAAGGATTGGATACTGGACACCAGTGCAAGGAGAGAATCCCAGTATCTCAGTGTAATTTTCCTGTCCTGTCTAATAAGGACCGATCTCTTGGAGATTCCTCCTTGAAGTTGTGAATTACAGACTAAGAGTGCAAGAAGTGACAGCACAGTTCAGTTAAGGTCACCATGAACGGAGGTTTATGTGTGACCATTACCATTGTATTGGAATCATAGAAAATACTTTCACTTGTGGCAGAGTGGCTATTCCTTATTCCTGGTAAGCCTTAGATGTCACGTGCAATAGTTATTTTGTACTGTCAAAGAAAACTCAGTCTTCACTCAGGTTGGGAGATTGTCAACAGAGATCTTTAATTCAATCAGCTGAAGGGGAGCATATCACAGAGAAAGGGTTTCCCCTAGCACTCAAGACACACTCACTGGACTGAAGTTACACTTTCCTTTTTATACATTAAAAGTAGGCAAGACTTTAACATATCAAAGGGACATACAGGGAAAGGGGCAGTGTCAGAAGTAAAAAAAACAGGACAGGAAGATGCCATTTGGCATCCTACAATCTGTTTCATTTCTCTCTGGTTGAATGGGTGTGAGAAATCACAGGCTTCAGTTTGCACTTAATACAGTGGTCCTAGGTGGGAACAGAAAACCTTTCCCGCGCAGTCACTTTTCATAAGAATAAACCTGCTTTAAAAAACTTCACTGTACTGTGCTGTGAATCACTGCTGTCCTACAATTTACTTTGAAAAAACAATGGGGAAACATTATAAAATTTGGTTGTAGTAATATCCCATTTTTTTAAAAGCTATTTCCTGTTATTTAACAGTTTTCCCTTTGACATACAATATACATAACTACTGTATATACTGTACAGTATATAGAAACACAGCATACAGTACCTTTTGGTTTCCTGAAGAACCTAAGTTTAAATAATGATACAGTATATACTGTATTACTATAAATGGTCTTACATAAGAATTATATCACCAATGTATTCTATATGGAATAATACTCACATGAATGTGGTATTATGATTCATTCAAGGAACTCTTGAAACAGTTTCTTGAAATAAGCCATGATAACAGCTTCATTAACATGGCTGGGCCACTTTTTACACAAACCTTAACTTAGATGTAACCTTCTAATCAAAACCTTTCACATCCAGCAATTAAATTAGATGTCAATGTCAAACTTCAGATTTTGTAAAGTACTTCATATTTCACATTTCCTTGTTGTATAGTAGATTTTAAAGTTTTGTAGTCAACAGTCATAGAGATTTGATATACTGTATAGTTTCATATCTTGTAATACATTCTTTCATCCTACTTGCATTCTACTTTCTAAATTACAGATTTACAACAACTGTCTTTACAGTATTGTTTTCTGAAATATGAGA